TGCCGCCTGCCTGCTTGCTGCCTGCTGCATGCCTGCTGCTTACTGCCTACAGCTTGCCTGCCTGCCTGCCTGCCTGCTTGCCGCCTGCCTGCCGCCTGCCTGCAGCCTGCCTTCTGCCTGTCTACTGCCGCCTGCCTGCTTACTGCCTGCAACCTGCCTGCTGCCTGCCTGCTGCCTACCTGCTACTTGCTGCCTGCTCCCGCCTGCCTGCTTGCTGCCTGCTGCCGCCTGCCTACCGCCTGCCTGCCTGCCTGCTTGCTGCCTACTGCCGCCTGCCTGCAGCCTGCCTGCTGCCTGACTGCTACTTGTGTGTGCCGCCAGATCCTGGTATAACCCCTGGTATAGCCCCTGCAGCACTAGGTGCTTGTGAGTCTGCTCCCCTTGGTACTGCGCCTGCACAGGCTTTGCACACCTTTACACTTGACTCTGGTGCTTCCCGCTGTTTCTTTCGCGACAGTACCACAGTCACTCCCCTCTCTGCACCTGTTCCTGTCTCACTGGCTGACCCCTCTGGGGGCCCAGTGCTTGCACGGTCTTCCACTGTGCTTCCGTGTCCGGCGGTCCTGTCTGGTGAGCTGTCTGGTCTCCACCTCCCCTCGTTCTCTACGAACTTGGTGAGTAACGCTGTCCTCCAGGATGCGGGGGTTGACACCTTCACCCCTGGCCGGCAGCGTGTGGCGATTTGCACGTGCTCCCAGACTGGTCGCCACCTGGCCACATTCGCTCGTGCGCCGGGGTCCAGTCTGTACACCCTCACCACTGCGTCACGCTCCGCCCCTTTGTCTCCCCAGTTACACGCGTCTGCTCAGGTAGCTACACAGTGTGAGTGTCGCCGGCTGTCGCACGACACTCTCCTGTGGCACCACCGCCTTGGTCACCCCTCCCTGCCTCGCCTACGCAGCATGCACTCCCGCCTCCTGGTTTCTGGGCTTCCCAGGTCTCTGCCTCCCCTCCCTCCCTCGCCTGCGCCGCCCTGCATTCCCTGCGTCGAGGGGTGACAGCGCGCTGCTCCTCACTCCTCCTCGTTCCCTCCCACAGAGGCTCCACTGCAGACTCTCCACCTGGACGTGTGGGGCCCAGCCCGCGTCCGTGGACAGGGCCACGAGCGGTATTTCCTGCTGGTTGTCGACGACTACACGCGCTACACCACGGTCTTCCCCTTGCAGCGCAAAGGGGATGTCCCTGATGTTTTGATCCCCTGGATCCGCGCTACTTGTCTCCAGCTCTGCGAGCGGTTCCAGTCGGACTTTCCTGTCCTGCGTCTGCACTCTGACCGAGGTGGTGAGTTCTCCTCAGACCTCTTGGCAGCCTTCTGTGCGGAGCACGGCATCCGCCAGACTTTCACGCTTCCGGCCTCTCCACAGCAGAATGGGGTTGCTGAGCGCCGCATTGGCTTAGTCATGGAGGTCGCTCGTACCTCCATGATCCATGCGGCTGCCCCCCATTTTCTGTGGCCGTTTGCGGTCCGGTACGCCGCGCATCAGCTCAACCTTTGGCCCCGTGTCTCCTTGCCGGAGACCTCGCCCACACTGCTGTGGACGGGGAAGGTTGGCGACGCGTCGCGTTTCCGGGTCTGGGGTGCTCGTGCCTTTGTCCGCGATACCACCGCGGACAAGCTCCCCCCTCGCGCCATTCCTTGCGTCTTCCTTGGCTTTGTCCCTGACGCGCCTGGCTGGCAGTTCTACGACCCCGCCTCACGCCGTGTCTTTGCGTCTCAGGACGTCACCTTTGACGAGTCCGTCCCCTTTTACCGCCTCTTCCCCTACCGCACTGCTCCTCGCCCCCCCCCGCCGCTCCTTCTCGCCCCAGGTCCTCCCCAGGTAGACCCCCTCCCCGCGCCAGGTCCTGCTCCTTCAAGTGTCTCTCAGGTAGACCCCCCTGCGCCTGCGCCTGTTGAGGTCACTGGTGACTCCGGTCCTGCTGCGAGTGGTGTTGTCCCTGGGGGTGCGGAGCTTGGGGGTGCTGAGTCTGGGGGTGCTGAGCGTGTGGAGCCTGGAGGTGCTGAGCCTGCGCGTGAGGAGCCTGGAGGTGCTGCGTCTCGTGGTACTACGTCTGGAGGTGTTGCGCCTGTGTGTGCGGAGCCTGGGGGTGCTGAGTCTGGGGGTGAGTTGCCTGAGGGTTCTGAGACTGCTGTTCCGCGGTCTCCTTGGAGTAGCCGTCTTCGTCCACGTGTGCCCCTCACCTCCCAGCAGCTGCACGACTGGTACGGTCGCCGTCAGCGTCCCACTTCTGCACCTCAGGGCTCTCCTGCTGGAGGTTCTTCTGCTGGTGTCGCTGGTCCCGGAGGTGCTCGTACTGGGAGTGCTGGAGCTGCTGGGGCTGGTGGTGGTGCTGCTGGAGGTGCTGGAGCTGCTGGAGGTGCTGGAGCTGCTGGAGGTGCTGGAGATGCTGGAGGTGCTGGAGCTGCTGGGGGTGCTGGAGCTGCTGGAGGTACTGGCGCTGCTGGAGGGGCTGGTGCTGCTCATGCTGGTGGCACTGCTCAGCCGCGCCTGTTCTTTGCTCCGCCGTCTCCGTCGTCTCAGCCACCACCTGACTCTGCACTTCGCCAGGTTCTCAGTCTTCCCTCGTCTACTGGTCTTCCGTTACAGCCTGGCTCACCGCTGCCTGCTCCTTCTCCGTACACAGAGCAGCCTGGTAGCCTTGCAGAGCGTCGTGAGCCTGCGTCGCGTCCTGTCTCCCCTGTCTGTACCGGTCGTCGTGTTCCTCGTCAAAGCCAGCCGGCTGTCTCCGGCCCTCCCCTTGTAGTTTGTCGTCCTTCCTCTCCTTCTCCGCGTGTTCCTCTGCCGCCTCCCCCTGCGTCCTCGCTGCCTGTCGTTGCTGACCCTGCGTCTGACCGGTTTCGTGCTGAGCACTCTACTGTCACGCGTCTGCTTGCCACTGTTATCACTGACCCGTCGTTTGAGTCTGCTGCTGCGTCTGCCTTAGTCACTGAGCTTGTTGCCTTTGCTGCTCACTGTCGTCTAGACTACGCCGCCAGTCTTGTTGCTGAGTCTGTCTGTCCTCCGTCCGTCGGGGGTGAGTGTGCTCTTGGCACGGACGTCCTTGAGGACAGGCAGGAGGACCTTAAGTGTCTTGCAGCCGCTGCGCCTCATCTCGTATCCATGCTGCTTGCCCCTGAGGGAGACCCGGATGCACCAGACATCCCTACCCCGCGCTCTTACGCTGAGGCGATTGCGGGTGAGTACTCCTCTCAGTGGTAGACAGCCATGGACGCAGAGATGGCATCCTGGAATTCCACAGGCACCTACGTCGACGACGTTCCCCCTCCTGGGGCGAACATTGTCAGTGGCATGTGGATTTTCAGGGTGAAGCGGCCGCCAGGTTCTCCGCCTATCTTCAAGGCTCGTTACGTGGCTCGAGGCTTCAGTCAGCGAGAGGGAGTTGACTTCTTCCAGACCTTCTCCCTCACCCCGAAGATGACCACTCTTCGGGTGCTGCTGCACGTTGCCGCTTAGCGTGACTACGAGCTTCACTCTCTTGACTTCAGCACAGCCTTCTTACAGGGCAGCCTGCACGAGGAGATTTGGCTGCGCCGCCCTCCTGGCTTCACTGGGTCGTTCCCTCCTGGTACCCAGTGGAGCCTCCGGCGGCCGGTCTACGGTCTCCGCCAGGCGCCACGTGAGTGGCACGACACACTGAGGACGACACTTGCGGCTCTTGGGTTTGCTCCGTCGACTGCTGACCCGTCGCTGTTTTTGCGCACCGACACTTCTTTGCCGCCGTTCTACGTTCTCGTGTACGTCGACGACTTGGTCTTTGCCACTGCTGACACTGAGGCTCTCGCCCTGGTGAAGTCGGAGCTGCAGAAGAGACACACGTGCACAGACCTGGGTGAACTGCGCAGCTACCATCACCCGGGACAGAGCACGCCGCACCATCACACTGACTCAGTCACACATGGTGCAGCAGGTCCTTCAGCGCTTCGGTTTCACCTGGTCCTCAGCACAGGCCACTCCTCTGGCTCCTGGTCGGCACCGAAAGGTGCACATGGATGCTGCCAAGAGGGTACTACGCTACTTGTGCAGTACATCGGGCATGGGGCTCGTGCTTGGAGGACGGGGTGACGTTGTCCTCACAGGTCACTCGGACGCCTCTTGGGTTGACGACCAGGCTACGCAGCGGTCGTCACAGGGTTACACCTTCAGCCTTGGTTCTGGTTCAGTTTCCTGGCGTTCTACACGTTCGTCTTCAGTTCTCGGCTCCAGCTGTGAGGCAGAGATCTACGCCACAGCCATGGCTGCACAGGAGCTGCGCTGGCTCACCTACCTGCTGACCGACTTGGGAGAGAGACCTCGTTCTCCTCCAGTTCTGTACGTCGACAACAAGGCCGCCATTGCTTGTGTCAGGAGCACAGACTGGAGCACAGAACAAAGCACATCGCTCTCCGTTACTTTCTTGCTCGAGAGCTGCAGCAGCGTGGCCAGCTTCGTCTTACCTACGTGGCCACTCGGGCCAACACTGCTGATATATTCACCAAGGCGCTTCCGCCTGGTGATCATCAGCGTTTCTGCACTTTGTTAGGCCTTGTGCCCACTCTTCCTCATCTGCTTTGTTTGTACCATGATTTATATGTATTCCTGCATGCTTGTTCTTGTAGGTAGATATCACTGTACTGTTGTTGTTACATATATATTTCTGCATGTGAACTGGCCTTGTGGCCTTCTTACTTGTGCTCAGACTGCGTGGTGACGTTGTGATCCACCCTGAGCTTGCTTTGCACTTCGTGACTGGTCTTGTGACCCTCTGTTCTCCCCCACTTTGCCTATGGGGGTGTGTCAAACATATGTGTATATATGTTATAGTTTGGTTAGGCTTAGTGGGGTACTCACTGTGGGGTACAACCCCTTAGGTTTCTCCTTTGTACCTTTCCCCTCGACAGTCGACACCCACTTTCCCGTAAGATTCTAACATGCCACACCTCATAGCCCCCACAATGATCACCAACTGATCCATACACAAAGACCTGGTGCAAGTGCCCGTATAACGACTTTATACGGCCCATGTCAGGTCAGTTACACATAAATGCGTGTGGAAAACTCCCCCTCAGTTGATGCAAGGCTGGCAGCACAAAGACATGCAGAGAAGCACGTGACATGGGCCTGTAAAGTGGGAGAGGGAGGGGGGCTGCTGCAAGAATTGAGAAGGGTGTGGTGTGGGACAGCGGGGTGGGACCCTCTCAGGCTGAACACATTATGTGTAAGAGGTGAGGAGTGTGGTTGACAGACCATGTGGTGATGCTTGCTAGTATCATCCGAGTGTGTAGGAGGCGGAAATGGGATAGAGAACAAAGTGTGAGGATCGTAAGTCAGAGTGGAGGGGGGAATGGGGATCCGTGCATGCCTAGTGACGCAGCAAGGAGCAGGTGGCAATAACTCGGAGGGAAATAAAGCTACTGGCATACTGGTAGGCGGTGGAGAAAGAAGGTTGAAGCCGCAAGGTAATGGGGCAGGGCAAGGGTTACGACCTTCTGAAGCAGGTCGCAACCTCTAGTCCGGGGATGGTCAAAAGTCGGGACAGTTGACCTCCGACTTTTGACTTTCCAACTAGTGCGTGCTCTATATGAACTAACGCGGTAGTGGTATTGGCGCAGTCTTGTTATGAGACATTGCACTATAGCGATACCTTCATGTTAGAAATTATACATTTCATATAACTGCCTGCTAGTGCAGCTAATCTGTAGTGATACTTCTGGTTGCCTTTTCCTATTTGTACTCCCGCTTCTCTTAGTGAAACCTTCTCTTTGGCCAATCTCTCTCGACATGTTCCTCTCGTCCCTCTCGTCCTACCCAACCCCTAGTGCCTAAGTCCTAATTACTATTTTACATGGTATAGAGCAGGTATGCTCCTCGGCCTGTATCCTTTTTTTCCCATAGGCCGAGCGCATCTCGCTTCCCGTATGGCGCTCGTCGCGGCCCCAGCTGCGCCCGTTCAGGCGCTCGTCGCGACCCATATCCCGGCCCCCATCGTCGCCCCCCATCTCATTCTTGTCGCCGCCCTCGTTGCGACGGCTGATTTTGGGGGAGGTGGCGGGGGTAACGCTGGGCTCGTCGCGGCCTCGCCTTGGCCTCCCGACGGTCCCGCCCGCCCCGTCGCCCGTGCTCCCGCTGCTGCCGCGTTTTCTGGTGCGCGGAGCAGCACCTGCAGCGCCTGCCGTTACCGCTCCCGCCACCCTTCGTCGCCTGCCCGTCGCCTGCCCCGTCACGACAACGCTGCTGCCGCGACTCCAGCTTCCATGCCCACTCCTGCCGTGGGAGGGGGTGGTGGCCGTGCGTCAGCTGCCGCCGCTGTGGGGGGAGCTGGCGAGCGAGGTGGGGGTGGTTGACGGTGCTGCTGACGTCATGCCGCTGCACCGCCGCCTGCCTACTCCTCCTTCTCCCTGTTGCGCCTGGCGCTATGCGAGGGGAGGGGGGGGGGGGGGGGGGAGGAGGTACGGGGGGCGGGGGGGAGGGATGACCAGCAGCTGCAGCGCCAGACGCCTCCTCCTCCTCTTTGCTCTTCCTTTCGCTGCCGCTGGAGGGGTGGGGTGAGGGGGTGGCAGGAGTGGAGTTTCAGCACCATCCGCCTATCCTCCTCCTCTCTCTCCCCTTTCTTTTGTTTCTCCTTTACTGTCCACTCATGCCCCCCCTACTTGTCTTTCGTTCTCTCGTTCTGTTCCATGGCACCTGCTGCTGCTGCCTGTTGCTGGCTTGCCCCCGGAGGTGCTGAGCCGTGCTGTCCTGCTGCTCGTTGCTGTTAAAATATATATTGTGTAGCATGCCAACACATGTGACTGTACACCAATTGTGGTGTACAGTTGGGTTGGGACTACACCCAACTTTGGGTGTAGTCTTGCACTTTGGGGTGCCAATCCACCCAATTGTGGTGGAGCCCCCAAATGCAACCCTCTTGACTTGTGGGTACCTCACTTCCCACAATTGAGGTTACCCCAAGCCAAGTGGGCCTAGGGTTGCCTCACTTCTACAAAGTGTGGGCAACCCAACCCACTTGACCTATGGTTCCCTCACTTCCCCAAGTGAGGTCAACCCAACCTATGGTCACTTTCATCCTTCCCTTCCAACCTTCCCTTCCAACTATGTATGCTAGGTTGTTCCTCTAATCTAATGACTTGTTCAATTCACAATCTTCACAGTTGCAGCCACAGCGCCTGCTCTCTCGCCCACCTGCAGCCGCCCCTGCATCTGCCATCACTGCAACTGCTGCCAGCTGCTGGCTCGCCCCCAGAGGTGCTGAGCGGTGCTGTCCAGCTGCTCGCTGCAGCCACAGCACCTGCTCTATCGCCCGCCTACCGTCGCCTGCACCCGCCGCTGCTGCTCACTCTCTCTGGCTTATCCCCTTAAGGGGGTGTCTCTATTAAGAACGTCGGAAAGAAGAAAGACTAGAAATCAAGGGTACAAGGAAACAAGTATGAAACCCTAACTGGGTTGTACCCAGGGCTCAGGTTATCAGTGTAATTTACCCTTCTATACTAATTACAAGGGTGAAATTTTGGGTCTACACTGATGTGCTGGGGTAAATTTTTGGTGAGTTAGTGTTACACTGATCTGTAAGTGTATCGACGTAGGCCACACTGATGCCTTGGGGTAAATTTTCCCTTAGCGAAGATTACACTGAAGAGCGTATGCCCCCCCCCCCCCCACCCCGAGCTTTTCCCCGAAATGTGTCAGATCGTGATTTCCGTTCATCACGCAAGTGCCGAGGATTCCTTCCGTGCAGTACGTGCGTTGGCCGCAGTCACGTGTCCGATTGGTCTGTTAGGAATTATTCCCTTGCCGGCATGCCACGAAACCGAACATTGGCAGCAACTGCAGTATCGCTGCCTGCACTAGGTCTAACCACAAGACTTTGCGAACATCTGTCAGTGTTCGAAAAAAAACCACACTGATGATGCAGGGTAATTTTTTCAAAACCTGATGTTACACTGCTCTATCAGTGTAAAGGAAAAGTACACACTGTCAGAATGTGATGTTTGTGTAGCCTGCAGTGGGGTACTCTATAGCGAGTACAGCCCGAATTAGGGTTTGCTATATGTACTGAACTGCATGCTAGTGAAAACTCTCTTTCCTTGTTTCTTGATTCTGCCTAGTCTTTCAACATGCTATCAGAGCAGGTCGACCCTCCTGGGTCGATCCTGTGGGTGGGTCCCACCCGATGCTTCCGCTGCTCTACTGCTTGTAGCGCGCCCCGGGCGCGTGCTCTTTCCTGCCTGCCGCGCGCTCCGGGCGCGCAGCGATTTTTCTTCCCGCCGCGTGCCCCGAGGCGCGCGGCGGTTTTCTGCCCCGTCGAACCGTCGCGTCGCCCCCCGTCGCCCGACGCGGCCCGCGCGACCTGCGCCAGGCCCGCGCGCGGCCCGTACGGGCTGCGCCAGGCCCGCGCGCGACCCGTACGGGTTGCGCCAGGCCCGTGCGCGGCCCATACGGCCTGCGCCAGCCCAGCGCGCGGCCCGTACGGGCTGCGCCAGGCCCGCGCGCGGCCCGTACGGCCTGCGCCAGGCCCGTGCGCGGCCCGTACGGCCTGCTCCAGCCCAGCGCGCGGCCCGTACGAGCTGCGCCAGGCCCGCGCGCGGCCCGGGCAGCCCGCGTGCGGTTCGTCCTGAGCTTGTGACCGCACCCCACCCCCGCTGCTGCCCGCGCTCCTGTGTTAGGGTTTAGGGGTGGCGAGTATGGGGGTGCCGGGTGTGTGAGCCGTCCCCTACTCCTCCTCCTCCTCCGTCTCCCACTGCTGCAGCTGCCGCTGAGGGGGGTGGATGTGTTGGAGCCGTCGGAGTGGTAAGAGGGGGGTGGCGTGTGAGCGGTGCTAGAGGTTTAATAAGGGGAGTGTGAAAGGGGTGTGGGACAGTTGGGGGAGGTTGACCGGAGGTTGCCGTTGTGACGTCTGCAGCGCCTGTAGTCCGGGGGTTGAGTACTCTGGTAGCCCAGCGAGCCTGCTGCTGCCAGTCGCCCATGGGTCTGTTGCTCCTGCTGCTGCTTAGCGCGGAGCCAGTTACTCCTGTAGTCCGGAGGTTGAGTGCTCCGGTAGCCACCGTGCGCGCCGTTCCTGTTGCCCGTGTGTCTGCGGCTTCACCCGCCACCTTCTATCTTCACTCCTCTCACAGTCTCTCCTCCTCACTTTCCCTCTGTGATAGCCTCTAGCTTTACTTATTACTGTGAACTATAAACTGTTGTTTTTTGTACTTGTGCTCAGAATGTGTGGTGACATTGTGATCCACCCTGAGCTTGTTTTTGCTTGTTGTTTTGATTGTACCCCACTTTGACTATGGGGGTGTGTAAGAATGTGATGTTTGTGTAGCCTGCAGTGGGGTACTCTATAGCGAGTACAGCCCGAATTAGGGTTTGCTATATGTACTGAACTGCATGCTAGTGAAAACTCTCTTTCCTTGTTTCTTGATTCTGCCTAGTCTTTCAACACACACTGGGTTTTTGAAAAAGCTACCGACACTGCCAATCGTGAGTAGGCCAAATCCAAAACGAAGCCCTGGTTGTACCCTCACTACGGAATACAGCAATATGTGATATATAATTTGACTCACCGCCATAGGCGAAGTGGGGACTAGCAAGAATAACAAATGGTCACAAGACCAGTTAAGAGAAGAAACAAAACAAAGCTCAAGGTGGATCTCAAGATCACCATGCAGTCCGAGCACAAGCAAGCGGCCACAAGACCAGTTCACAGGCAGCGTTATCAACGTTATAATTGTTGGGCTGAGAAAAGACCTTAGGAACTTTTCAGGACTAAGATCGGGTGTTGACGTAGAGTTGTAACAGCGGAAGCGTTTAATGAAGAGTTGTCATGAACCACCTTGTGCTAGTTTGTGAGAACAAGATAAGTTGATAATAGCAGAGAAGTACAAGGCTTTTATATGATTACAAAGGAATATAGAAGGTTTTATCTGAACTGTTTTTGCTGTTGCGGTTCGATACAGTGCCGACTCGGGTTACTGCTCCGTAACGAGTCAGTTATGTGTCCTTGCTGTCGCACTGTACGTTTCGTCAGGTCAAAGGTCGGAGACCTTTGACCTTCGCGTAACCTCCGACGGTTGACTCGGGTGCTTCTTCGTTGTAGTCAGTTCCGTTTTGTGTCGAAGCTTCGATACGACAGAAGCGTTATAAATCACTTGTTTCCAACACTCCCCTTCGCTTCTGGAGGATCGTTGCTGCTGTCGTGTCCTTGTCCAGTCAGCAGCATGCAGTACTCTCTGTTTTCCGAGTTTCTTGGTCAAGTAGTCGGCTGCCATCTCGGATGTGGGACAGTAGGATAGTTCGAGTCTTCCCTTTTCGATCTCGTCTTTCACGAAGAAGTACCGTAGGGCAATGTACTTCGTTCGATTCGCGAACCCGTTTTTGTTCGCTATGCGAATGGCCGATTGGTTGTCGCAGAAGAGAGAGAAATTGGGTAACTGGGCCAATTTTGCTTCCTCCAGTAGTTCGCGAAGATATAGCCCTTCCTTGGTTGCTGAGCAGAGTGCGATATATTCTGCTTCTGCTGACGAGAGAGCAATTAGCTCTTGCTTGTTCGACTGCCAAGAGATAGGCACGATAGGTTCGATTCTGTAGACGTAGCCGATTCGAGACCGTCTGTTGTCTGAATCTCCAGCGTGATCGGCGTCGACGTAGCCGATTAGCTTAGGTGTCGCGGTGCTGGTTTTGTGGTAGGTGAGTCCGATCGTCGGAGTACTGACGAGGTAGTGAAGTGCTCGGTCGAGTTCGAGCATGTGATCTGCTTCAGGCTTCTTGAGGTAGGTAGCGAGTTGGCTAGCTGAGTAGGATAGATCCGGTCGGCAGGTGACGGCTGCGAAGAGTAGGCAGCCTAGCTTCCTTTGGTAGTCGCGGACGCCAGCAGGTTTGAGTAAGGCGGGGGCCTTCCGATTTCCGTCGGTGTAGCGGTATGGCGTGGAGATAGTAGTTGGAGTGAGTCCGAAGCGTTTAGCAATAGTGTCCGTGTATTTTACAGCGCTGAGGTAGATGGCATTGTCGCCGTCTTCGATGTTCAGTCCTAGGTACTGTGTCACGGTGGTTGCGACGGTGAGAGTTAGATCTCCCTGCAGCTCCCCTTCAAACCACGTTGTTACCGCGTCGGTGGAGCCTATGTAGAGAAGATCATCGACGTAGACGATAAGTAGGATGTAGTCGGTGCCTTTCGCCAGTCGATACATCCCTTGGTCGTGTGGTAGCTGAAGAAATCCGATGCGAATGAGGCGGGCGTGAAGGTGCTGCTGCCATAGTCTCGGGGCTTGCTTAATCCCGTACAGTGACTTCTCCAGTTGACAGATTTGGTTGGGGCCTGCGTTGGATCCGTGTGGGAGTTCGACGAAAATCTCAGCGTCGA